CTCTCACATCCACATTGCAAATATATAGTTTTTATTGCGCGGAAACCCCTTAGCGACAAACTTGGTGTAATGTATGTAGTGGGAGGAAGGAGGCGTCCCACTCCCCACTATTATTACTTGTTTGGTAGGTCGTGGCTGAGCGGTAAGGCAGTAGTAAGTTAGATACTGACGTACTCTGAAGATGTTGGTCTGAAGTTAAACTTGTCGCAGTTTTCTTGTCTTTATCTGGGTAACTGGTAAGCAGAGGGCAAGGCAGAGGCCCAGGAAGGGCACGTCCTCCAAGCCCGTGAGGCGAGCGGTCTGAGGTAGATGGCACAGGAATTGCCATGAACGAAGTTCGTTTTTGAGACAATATACAATGGAAAAACATGAAAGAATATGGATGAACATAGATTTAAAGATATTAGGTCACATGACCGTTTCGTGGAGATGAACAATGGTATGGTTGACATGATATCGGTATGTTTTTACAATCCAAACATTGTGATTATGGGACAGACTGGCTGACTATACATGAAACATAGAACATTTGAATATCAATGGTAAAATCTGTTACATACATCGTGATTCAGAATAAGCATTTATAAGAAACATTTTGAGTAAAAACATGACATATTTATACTTGAAGAGAACATGAGAGTAATAAGGGTCAGATTAGCGTGTTCTATGGTCACTTCGTCAATGTTGGGCACAGGGCAGGTTGAAGTACTTGTGAAATAGGAACACATGGCTTTTGTGTGGTGTGCGAGGGGTGAGCGACGAGGGGAGCAGGTCACTAAACTTGACCCGAGGAAACAAAACCTCCACCACGTATTCCCGGCAGGCAAGAGCTTTACAAAAATTATCGTCGATCTCGGAGCGGCGGACGTATTAGTTACCTCGTAACATTCCCACTGAATCAGCATACTAACCTTGACATAGTTATCACTGTATACAGAGACGATTGTAGTATAATCACGATGAACGGGGTATATACATGAACAGAAGAGCGCCCTCGTCGGCGGGTTTTGCGCCTCTCTTGATGTTACACCGATGGCCTCAAGGTCGAGTTTCCTGTCCCCTGGAACCACGATTTTCAAATTCCTAACCGAAATAACTGCCGCGTTCAGTACTTCGCCATCGCCGCTGTGATGACGAATGTGGAGGGTGCTCCTACTAGGTACCATTATTTAAGTTATCGGCTCCACATCTAGTTCGTGTGCGCTTTATTCCTGCCGCGAATATGTGGTGGATATTTTGTTTCCTCGGTGGGGGTTGGGCACCCCTGGTGGGGGGGTCGCAGGGGGCACAGCCCCCTGCAATGAAAAGTCATGGGAATGACCATGGATATTTTCACTGTGGGTTATAATATTAGGGTATTTTTCTATATTACGTCCGCCCCTCTGACATTCTCCCCCGAAATAGGGCCCAAGTTTGCTGCTAACGGTGGGTTTCCGCGTAATAAAACCTACATATTTGGATTGTACAGAGTGAGAGGAATCCTACGATACCAAAATCGTCAATATCGGAGAGGCGAAGGTAATAAAATTACCCCTAGAAATAATGTTTGTGCAAATATGAACGTGAGCCATATGCCTAACCGCAAGAAATGGATTCAGATACTGTAATAGTGCTTAAAAGTTGTAATTTCCCAAAATTGCTTAGTAGCTTGATAAATTTGGAAAGATGTTACACTTTTCGGTTCGAAACTAGATTCATTCAATTTTTATTTTTTGGTTTGGTTGATTTTGGTGTTCGTTTCCATTTGGAGATGACTAGATTGTCTATTCCATACTAGAGTTGTGCCACTCTTAGTATCATGCATGTGCACTCTGGAAATCTTGTTTTCTGCTGTAATCATGGTACCGATTAAATCCCTACATTGTTAATAACTCCCTATGGGGATGTGCTGCCCCTAACCCCTACCCAGGAAAATAAAGAATGGCAGGAGAGTGTGTCGGACAGATTCGGCATCAGGTGGTCTGCATGTCGGCCGTAGGTACGAAAATTACAACAGCAGGGGACTATGCCCCCTGCAGTGTGAATTTTCTCTATTGGCTATTAAATTAACCCTTCAAACAATTGACCATTGAAATCGTGACACTGGCTGTGATGTCACCAGGTGAAATAACAGGAACATTACAGGTAGAGAACCTCTACGCATGAGCAGTGAGGAATTTGGTCAGTATTCCCTCAGCTCCCGTGGTGAATCTCGGCTTTTTTTTTTTTGTTATAGTTAACCCTTATTAACATGAGACAACACTTATTGGACAATATGCAGTATAAGGTAGTGCCTAAGTTGGGAGATATAACCTATATAATCGATAGACTGATACAAACCAAGACACTTTTCTATGGCAATATTTGTTCAAATGCTTCCCAAAGGTGCCATACGTAAATGAACAGAGGTGAGGGCCCAAATTTGCCAAAGTCCATCATCATCTTTTCATGACGAAAAGTCAAAAATTGGGGGTTCGCGTGCAGTAAAATCTACATATTTGCATTGTATAGTGAGAGGAATCCAACGATACCAAAATCGTCGATATCGGAGCAGTGGAGGTAAATATAGAAAATTACCGGAATAATTACATCATTTTGTTTAAACAACCCAATGTCGCTGTGAAAAATGTTAACTTTAACTCATTAATCAAAGTAAAAAGCATTTAAGGTGTTAAAAATGTTGCCTGCAAACTACCAAATGAGCTGGTGCAAATAGAAACTGTCATTGAGTACCAATAACTGTTAATTGCCTATTAGTGAAATTTTTACCATGGGTAAACGGGTTAATGAGAGAGTTCAAGTTAAAATGTGATTTAGTTTCTTTTAGGTGAATAGATAGTATGTTGTATGGGGTGGGGGGGGGACTTCCTAGCTTGTTTTGTATTTGCTACATCCTGTTGCATATGACTTGTTGATTTATGTAACTTGGTACTGTTTGTTGATTTATGTAACTTGGTACTGTTTGTTGATTTATGTAACTTGGTACTGTTTGTTGATTTATGTAACTTGGTACTGTTTTGTTGATTTATGTAACTTGGTACTGTTTGTTGATTTATGTAACTTGGTACTGTTTGTTGATTTATGTAACTTGGTACTGTTTGTTGATTTATGTAACTTGGTACTGTTTGTTGATTTATGTAACTTGGTACTGTTTAAAAATGCCGATTGTAATATAGTTCTACTACTAACAGATGCAGATCTTCGTGAAGACCCTCACGGGCAAGACCATCACCCTTGAGGTTGAGCCCTCGGATACTATCGAGAATGTGAAGGCCAAGATCCAAGACAAGGAGGGTAAGTGGAAATCTTAGATATTAAATCTTGAAGCAGAAATTTTTTTTGCTTGAAACTAGGGCATTCAGGGATTAGTGTTGTATGGCTCGGAGTTCATCCTTTCTTGAAGTAACTGTTCCACTACTTTCTTATAAAAATTGGCATTAGTTAATGTGGAACAGATACTTATTCTTGTAATACTTTGATCATGTCAGACTGGTGTTTATGCTTTAGTTTATTCTTTATATGTGGATCTCATTTAAGTGTATCGGCGGTAGAATGGGTAGCAAAAAACACATTCCACCCTTCGTATAATAATGCTTTGGTTCACTATATACAGTGACAGGTCTGTGAGGATATTACTGGGCAAACAAGGTTGTTCAAATTTATACTGAATATGACAGTTTTAATAGCCTCTTGGTCCCATTTTAATTTCATAGTTGTTCATGCCCTATTATAAAGATAAAAGATAGGTCAGTTACAGTAAAACCGTTCTAGTAATAATAAAATGTATAATCTAGGTATGATCAAGACCTCATGAGAATGTTTATTAATGTTTATGAAAGATGAATTATAATTACTTGTTCTGATATCTGGTGTGTTGGGACATAATTGACTAGTATTTGTTTTTATGGGGGTCTTGAATATTTGAGTCTGTGACACTGAAGATATTTCCTTGAAATTGAGCAAGGATTCGCATCAATACAAAATATATTTTGTATTGACTTCATAAGACCTTGCCAGAATAAATGAGATTTGTTTGAGGTATCACTAGGTCAATGCTAGTGCTACTATGGAAATTCTCTACAAAGGTTATAAAAACTACAAATTTGACTAAATATTTAGTATAAAACAAGTTCTTCTGATGTTGCATTCTTAATTGAGTGTATTGAAAACTTTACAGGCATCCCTCCGGATCAGCAGCGTCTGATCTTCGCTGGCAAGCAGCTTGAGGATGGTTCGCACTCTCTCTGACTTACAATATTCAGAAAGGTAAGATGTATACTCCCCTTTAAAGAATTTATTCTAAAAAAAATGTGAATTAGATGTTGGTACTAATGAATGGGAAATTATTCTTAAGATCTATGAAATGGTTGATTTTAACATGCTTGTTCACTTCCAGAATCTACTCTCCACTTGGTTCTCTGCGTCTGCGTGGTGGTGTAATTGAGCCTTCTCTCAAGCTTTAAGCTGAGAAGTACAACTGCAACAAAATGATTTGCCGCAAGTGCTATGCTCGTCTTCACCCTAGGTATGTTGGTTTTAGAATTTTATTCATTAAGTATTATTGTTACCACTGTTGGAAAGTATATTTTATAGATACATGCATCTCAGTTCATTTTTTACTTTATAGGGCCTCCAATTGCCGCAAGAAGAAGTGTGGACACACAATGCTGATATCCGCCCCAAGAAGAAGCTCAAGGGTTAAATTTTTTTCTTGGAGAATAAAAAAAAAAAGGACCATGTATTAAATGTCTTTATACTCTGAAGAGATACAAGACTGGTTTAATAAAGGAGGCCATCATAAAGGGTTTTATTTTCCTTGGTTACAATAATGTAGCTTCTCAATAAATTTTTGTGTACTTATATCATTGTTTTGAAAAATCAGTTGCCTGCCTTATTAAATGTCATGTCAGGCTAGGTTGTTTTCAGTTAGCCATAGTATTCATTTCCTGTTTAAAGTAAATATAGTCTATTCATGTAATAGACTAAAGGTAACCTTATTAGTAAGTTCAGTATATAACTTTTAACTAAAATTAATTTCCATAATTGGTTTGCCATTTTTTTCTAAATTCTTGTAGAAACTTTCTTTTAAAGTCACTTATTTAAAAGTTGTTCATTATCTTTGAAGGCAGAGGAAACTGCTGCTTCTAATAAGGAAATTGATTTACTTCAGTGGAAGCGTTCATCGTTAGTTATCTACATTGATGCAAGAGCATTTGTTACAGCGACCAATGGACATGGTACAGGAGGGTATGGATGTATCGTGTGGTTAGTTGGTCTGCATATGTAAGTAAGCTTCTAGAAATATGAAACTGGTTATCATATATTACTGATTTATAAATGATTGTAAAACTAGTAATGCTAATACATATGTAATGTGGCATGTCATAATGTTGACAGATGCAGAGTACTTGATGAATTTGTGAACTTGCAAGATAGTTCAATCAAGCCCAAATCATGGGACTGTGAAGTCTGGTGGTGGACTGACAAGGTATGTGACAAAGGATAACCTTATGTCAGTCTTTTGTCAAAGATTTGTGTGAAGAATGCAAAGTATTTTTCTACTTTTGTGTGGGTAATTGAGTAAATGTGGTTTGCTTGTAGAATTGATGTAGGTAAAAACAGTGAGTGATCACAGGCTGCCTTGCCTCCCATTATGGTTACATTGCAATTATACTCCCTTAAGCTTGGTGCATCTTGGCTAGCCTTTTAGTATTGAAAGATGTTTTAACTGCATTATAAACTAACTACAAAGATCGCCTTAGATTGTAGATCTAGCTAGTTACCCAAATAGTATTTATCCCTGGCAAAAAAGTGACAACCAGCAAGTGATCTGGTTCCCAAGTTGTAAAACTAGCAGTACATTGGCTCAAATCAAGCTTATATTGCATTTGTTGCATGAGCATGCTCAACTGTTATTCATGTATTAGAAGATTATGCATTAAAATTTGAGTACAATTACTATTATCTAGAATTATATGTTCAACTGGTATCTGCTGACTGATATACACTGGACTGTCCACTGCTATTTTTACTACAGATCCACAAGAACTGTCATCAGTCATTTACTAGCCCTACATGATCTCGTTTGTTTACTGGTGGCTTGGGTAATTTAACAAATCCCTAATCAGACCACAGAAATTTTAACAAATAAGAATAGATAAAAGGATTTTCATGGTAATTAATATTGTTAAAAAAAAAATATATATATATATATTTTTTATTTCATTACTATAATGAGGGCAGGAATATCACAGATTGTTTATTTATTGGATACACTTTTGATAATTGTTCTTCCATACTATCACCAAGAACTGGTACACAGGATTATATAAGCATTCCGTTAGTGAAGCTAAATTGTCAAGGGCGGAAATATTAACCCAATGCCTGCGGAAAAATGCAGTAATCCCTACAAGATTTTGCGAAACTTCTCTACATTTAGATGGCTCTGCCAGAGTGCTTGGCTACAAAGGAGTCATTTAATAGACCTTACCTCAACTGATTTAACCTTTGCTTGAGTTTGTGTGAATATTTGTTTACTTATCAATATTGATACTGTCATTTTTAATGTAAACATTCTCATGACTAACTTTATATATTGTTTATTTATTTTATTATTTTTTTCTTACTTTACTAACAGTAAAATTAAACACCAGAAAATCATTGAAAATCAAGGAAGAGGGTAAACAGTTGAGACAGGCTGTTCTTGTAGTGGTGACAAGAGTACTTGTGGAGCCCATCTGTGTAAAGTTAATTATACATAGTTGGCATGGCATCTTTGTACACCCCATCCCTGGTAGCATGTAAGGAAGAACAGGTTTTTTAACACGTTGCCGATGGGTGGCATGTACGTACATGCCATGGCTGTTGTGGACCGAAACACGGATGGCATAGTATCACGCCCATTCCTGCGCCACTGGCTCATCGGACGGGAGTTTTTCTCCGATAGTAGCTGTTCCATTTATATGGTAAAGATATTAGGCAATGGTATCTCATAATGAAGGTAAACCTTCAAAATAAAAGCTTTAAGGTGCTAAATGTCGCTCGCAAACTACCAATCAAGCTGGGCGCAAACGGGAAACTGTTGATGCGCGCCAACAATCCTGTTCTTATGTACACTTGCCAAACATTTAACCCGTCGGCACTGGGTTAAGAAACAGACAAGAGGCCTAATGTGGTAGGTCACCCCTACCTTGGACCTTAGCCCTGCCTTGTCTTCTCCCCCTTTCCTTGAGTTGTACTGCAAGAATGAAATTTCAGTCCTGAATGGCTTTCATACTCCATTTCTCTTTCCTCTTCACTCTTTTCACAACCAAAGTAAAATGATGCACAACCTTTGACATATAACAGTATGAGGGCACCCCTTAGCTATTTTTTTGAACTCTGGAAATATAAATGAGATATCAATTGTTTTTTCACTGTCGTACTATCCTAGAATGCTCAAATCTTTGATTTTTAACACATTTTATCGTAATCTTCAACTCTTTTATCCTTTTTGCCATAATACTTATACAACCTTTGATGTACAGCATATTTATTTTTTCAGCTATTGATCTCAAGTATTTTATGTTTAAGATGATAAACGCAAAGATATTCTGAAATAAATACTATATGGAATTTTGAACTTGGCTGTATGCACTTGTCTTTGTGTAGAGTTCAAACAGCTATTGTATTCTTTTCATGCATTTTGTATAGAAAAAATTAATGTGCATACGTTACTGAAGGTTATTGGTGTCATTAAATTACTTAGATATCAAACCATGCTTAGGTGTCCAATGATAATGAATGCAAATGACTGAATAGCAATACTTGTTCCACGGGCCTATCAAATGAGGATAAAAATTATTAACCTTGTAGGAAGAATCCAACAGCTTTGGTAATTCTTGCCTCTCATTTATTTCACATCTTTCACATCTCAGAGTTCATTGTTAATATGATATATGGACTCTTATCCTTGAAATGAAAATCGGCATCGTTACAAAAATCGCATTTATTCAGTTTTCAAATGAACCAAACCCCATTAGAATTGCCCTAGTAGTTAGGGAGAAACAAAAATGTTGACATAGATGTAGTTTTGAGATATCAGGCTTTTAAAGCTAAGGATAGTTTTTCCTCTTTTTAATAATCTGATCTGTGTCAATCTTGATGCATTCTATTGCATTCACATGGTATTCTTAAGTGTAGCTGGTACCTGGTCCCCCCTTTTGCAAGGTACTAATGGTAATAACTGCAGATGATTGTAGAAGTACCACATGTCATCACATGCTTCACAGTGCCTTTAAAGTGCCTCATGAGGCATTTCATACAAATAAACAAGTGCTGCAGCTATGATTTGAGAAGTATTTCTCATCATATGTTTATTAATTACAGTAATAACACCTTTAGTTGTCAGAGATTTAGTTGACTTCTTTTATTTTTACCTATTTGGCAGAAGTGTTAGGTCACGGGATTGCCAAAGCCTACTAGACTACAGGAGAGTTTTTAAAATTTTCGGGTATTTTTGAAAATTTTCGTCAAATTCAGTGCGATGGCTCCCTTAACCCACCCACGCCGGGGTACATTTTGTAGCCCAAATTAAAAAAATCCGGGAAGCTACAAAATCGGCGGGCGGAGCTTCCCCGGAGTCTGTCCGCCCGCGCCGGCCGCCCGCCGCTTTGCCGCGGAGCACGGCTCCGAGACAGCATCGCACTGGCGGGCAGCCCGAAACTGTTTATTTTTTCCTTGTGTCTCATATATGTGACACCCGGGATGGATGGGTTAAACCCCTTTTTTTTTTTGCTAATTCATACCTTGCGCCTATGGACATCCTTGCAGAATCCCACACTTCTTCCTTTGACAATTTTTATCTAATCAACCTTGTTATTCCCTACCTTCCTGAACTGCTGTTTTTTTTCTGATGTGTAGCACATTTGAATTTTAGTTCTCTTTATTTACCCTTATTTAATGTTACACCTTTCTATATTGCAATATGACCTTTATGTCTGGGACATTTTTGCTTTGTAACCATTAACCATTTGAACAACTAATCCCCTCACCCCCCAAAAAAAGGAAAAAAAAAATCAAAGTATCTAAATTAGAATTCTCTGGTTTCCTTGAACCCTGGCCTTCCTTTTGAACATGGCTCCAGTGACAGCTTCCACCTCTACAAATCTTTTGTGAATCGTTTTAGCCCAGTCACATTGAAAGTGATACTGTATTGATTCCCCCTACAGCTTCATACTCTTCCAACAAAGTCTCCAGAAACAAATTGCCAAGTTTCCAATTGCTCATGCCTTGTTGGTTACATGGGAGTCCCAAACATTATCAACCCTGACTGGCCTTGATGGCAAACCTAGTCCTGCCCAGCCTCACTCCTCCCGTAATACTTTTACTGGACGGTTTGCATCCCTCATGATTGTCCTGTCTGACAAGGACTGGTCAGACTGAAAGCAACCTGCTCTTCTGCCTTGTTAACTGTGATAGTGTCAGCACAGCGCTACAGTATGATTGCAATGTAGGGGATCTTGGCCCTCTTTCCCCTTTCAAAACGAGGAAAATGGTACAGTACATTTTTTACCAGATGGTAAATTATTATTATTATTATTTTTTTTTTTCTTTTTACTAATGTAGGTTTAATACACCCCTAATCCCTTGCTCGTTGTCATAGGGAGGGAATGGGAGGGCTTCGGAGACAGAGACTAAAGCCCAGTGTAAGGGATCAACTTGGACCTTTGCCTCAACTAATTTTGCATTTTTTTTTTTCTCTTTCTCCTATTCTTTACCTTTTCATAATCCCTGTCTATCCACATCTTGAAATGAGAACAGTAAATGAAAGGATGAAACTGGCTTTGTCTTGAACAGCCTTCATAAACCTACTCCATTTGCTCTTCCTCTTTACCCTTTTCACTACCATACGAACTTACAATGCTGTACACCCTTTGAGATATAACTTATTTTGTCGTAGACCTTAGATGCTGATGTGGCAGAAAATTTCAATTAATGCAATAGTAGTGTAGGTTCAATATATTTATCTTTAGTCAGCTAATGATATACTATATAAAAAGTGGAAAATTCTGTATTGCCGATTTATAGTGGGTGGTTACAATCTACATGCATGCTTATTCACATCACAACACAATGTAGGCATTTCTTCAGGAGAACTTGGAAATTATCAAGGTTTTTTAGTAAATGCATTGAATAGCTATATTTTCAGAATAAAAAGGAAAAAGGCTGAATAACTTGCAAACTAGTTCGAACTTTTTTTAAGTTTCTATTCAAGAGTATGCATCCTCCTGATTTAATAGATTGAGGAAATGGTTGTCTTTGTAATGCCTGATTTAATTTTCTTTATTTTGTTTTTATTTATTTTATTTCATTTTATTTTTTTACTTTTGTTGAATATTCTTGCCAAATTTGGGGGGGGGGAGGTTTTCATATGCGTTTCCTGAAATTCAAAGTTTAAATTAGCCCCTTGGATCTGGATGTTTCAAGAATCATATTAGGATTACGTGAGTGGCAGAGTGCAAAGGAACACTTGTATGCAGTGGCAAGACTCTATGCCTCCTAAGTGTTTTTAGCCTTGCCAGTGTCCATATTTATCATTGGATTTACTGAATCCAGATGGTAATAGACTATATTTTCCTTGCACAGACGCCATATCATCTCCAGAGCTCAGTCCAAGAGTATTAACTAAGCAACATTTTATTTTTTATTTTTTGTAATATTCATTTTTCAGTAATACAACCTGCACTGCTAGTCAGAGGCTAGGAATAGGATGCTTGTGCGTGGAAACAGCATTTTCCCAGGTACTGACACTTCTGGTCATGTCTTGGCCACTACATTACACACTCGTATGTTGAAGGCATTATGCAAAAGCCCCTTTTTAAATGCTATATATGCGTCCAGATTTTCCCGTTACAGCATGTTCACATCAGCTGCCCCTCAAGCTAAATTTTTATGACGCGACATTCCTGTCATTTGAATTGTAGGGGTTAAGAGTGAGCATTTCTCAATTTTTTCATTTTTATTGTAATTTATTCAAGCAAGACTGGAAGATTGCACTGTTACTTCATTTGGTTTCATGTAAGTGAAGTTAATCAAAGAAAGTAAAAGGCAAACACTCATGATGATAATTAGGGCTCAAACTACTGAATCTTGATGTGAATCGAGAGCTGAATGGAGATGGGAGATTTTGAAATTTGATGAAAATATTATGTTCAGGTTAATGTTATGGAGACTGCATGCACATGACCAAGTTATCAGTAAGTATAAGGATCCTTTGGTCTTTGTTTGTAGAAAGATGAGTCCTTAGAAGGTTCCCACTCCAGGTTTTCTCACTAGAACCTTACTGTAATTCTCCCATTTGATTTACATGTAGATTTATTGAGCAGACAAGTTATAATTACAAGCGTTAATTGGTTTCATAACAAAGGGAATTGAGTTGTTGAGCATTTGAATGAAGTAAACATTTGTGCACGGCCTACACCTATATTTTATAGGTTGGCAGATTAACCCAATCGCGACGGGTGTCCCATATATGAGACCCGAAAAAAATAAACAATACCGGGTGTCCTGCCAGTGTGACACTGTATCGGGGCTGTACTCTGACGCAGCAGCTCCGCCTGCCGATTTTGTAGCCTCCCGGAATATTTTTATTTTGGCTACATAATGTACCCGTCGTGAATGGGTTAAGGAGAAATAGATATTTTCAAAAGTTTTTAATAGCAATACTTGTAATTCACCATCTAGGGGTCAACTTTCCATTATTATTTATCTATTTTAGTATAAGCTGTTATATCTATCATACAAAATATGTCCTGATCAAATTAAAAGGGAAGGATGGAAACCTAATAGTTAATTTGTATTTAGTGAAACTGAAAAGTGAAAAAATAAAATGCAAATATTTATCTTACACAAGATACTCTTTAGTTTCAATATATGAATGTTAATGTGCTATGATTACTGTGCTAGGAGTGTAGTAACAATAGATTTTTGTATTGCAGATTCATCCAGATTTGGGAGTTCTACATCCATTTACTAAAATCATTTGTAAGTGAGATCTTTTGAATGTTGACACTTTTTATATAGAATGAAATGATGAAAATATAAAGGTTCCCTCTAGTGAGTTTTTTTTTTACCAGAAATGCTACTGTTCTGTATTTTTTATTTATTTATTTTTTTATTATTTTTTATTTTGTATTTTTTCCTTCTGAAAAAAATAGAAGTGCAGCTTAGATGGGTATTAATTATATGTACTAAGTGTTTTGTTTTCTTTTTTCCAGAAAGATAAATGAAATTTGAACATCAAACAGATCATAAGTAAAGATGCATGTTATGCATGCATCATGTGTTGGTCCATTCTGATTTGACATTAAATGGGTATGTTTACCTTTTAATTTGTTAGTTTTTCTTGATGAATAATTGATAGTGATCCACAAAAGCCATAGGAGCTTGTTTTATATTAAAATTGTAACTGTCATAAGGTCATTGAAAGATTAATTTACATTGTCAATGAGATACTGTCCAAAGGATGTAATTATAAGAATTAATCAAGTCAGTGTATTAGATTTTTGGTGTAGATTAATCTATGTTTCAATTTGAAATTATCAGCAGCAGAAATCATACTTGTTTCTAAATTTTGTGTAATATAATGAAAATAGAAAACGTTCCCTCTGCTGAGGTTGCTTACCCACAACACAACCATGCTGTAGCTTTTTCTTCTGAGCAATATGGAAGTGTATGAAGACATTTGTTATGTAAATGTACCAAGTAGCTTTTGTAATTTCAGAAAAACGAGAGATTGTGGAATGAAATTCTGTTTACTCTACGTGCATTTGCCTAAATATCAGTAAGTGAAATCATACTTTTTTTTCTATATTTTGTGTAAAATGATGAAAATAGAAAAGGTTCCCTCTGCTGAGGTTGCTTACCCACAACACAACCATGCTGTAGCTTTTTCTTCTAAGCAATATGGAAATTTATGAAGACATGTGTTATGTAAGTGTACCAAGTAGCTTTTGTATTTTCAGAAAAATAAGAAGAGAGATTGTGGAATGAAATTCTTGTTTACTCTACGTGCATTCGCCTAAAATATCAGTAAGTGAAATCAAACTACTTGTTTCTATATTTTGTGTAAAATGATGAAAATAGAAAAGGTTCCCTCTGCTGAGGTTGCTTACCCACAACACAACCATGCTGTAGCTTTTTCTTCTGAGCAATATGGAAATGTAGTGAGAAATGTAATTTTGTGCAAATGTACTAAATAGCTTTTGTATTTTCAGAAAAATAAGGGAAAGAACAGATGAAACAAATATCTTATTGGTTACTCTACGTGCATATACCTAAATTACCAGTAAGTGAAATCTGAGAAGTATGATTCCCATTTTCTATATATAATTCTTTATATAGAATTTTTTTTACCTAAAACCAACTGTGCTGTAATATTTCTGTGAGGAATTAACCCAGTGCTGACGGGTAAAAATGTTTGGCAAGTGGATGTAAGAAGGGGATTGTTGGGGAGCATCGACAGTTTTCCCCAGTTTGCGCCTGGCTTGATCAGTTGTTTGCGAGCGACATTTAGCACCTAAAAGCTTTTATTTTGCTATAATTTATAAAAATATTTAAATTTTGAAGGTTTACTTTCATTATTGGTGCCAATGCCCAAAATCTTTACCATATAAATGAAGCTGTTACTATCATAGGAAAACAAACTCCATCTGACGAGCCAGTGGCGTGGGAATGGGCATGACACGATGCCACCGTCTTTTGGTCCACAACAGCCATGGCATGTATGTACATGCCACCTGTCTTTTGGTCCACAACAGCCATGGCATGTACGTACATGCCACCTGTCTTTTGGTCCACAACAGCCATGGCATGTACGTACATGCCACCTGTATTTTGGTCCACAACAGCCATGGCATGTACGTACATGCCACCTGTATTTTGGTCCACAACAGCCATGGCATGTACGTACATGCCACCTGTCAGCTAGGGGTTAATTTGCATTGTGACTGAGATAGTGTGCAAGAGGTATGAAAATAAATCTTCATGAAATCATTGTATTACAGATAATTGGAGTTTGGTAGTCTACGTGCTTAATTAGAACTTATCAGTAAGTGAAATTGTGATATTTGTTGTTTCTATAAACAAAACATGATGAAAATCGAAAAGGTTCCCTCTGCTGAGGTTGCTTACCCACAACACAACCATCTGTAGCTTTTTCTTCTGAGCAATATGGAAATTTATGAAGACATATGTTATGTAAGTGTACCAAGTAGCTTTTGTATTTTCAGAAAAATAAGGAGAGAGATTGTGAAATGAAATTCTTGTTTACTCTACGTGCATTTGCCTAAAATATCAGTAAGTGAAATCATACTACTTGTTTCTATATTTTGTGTAAAATGATGAAAATAGAAAAGGTTCCCTCTGCTGAGGTTGCTTACCCACAACACAACCATGCTGTAGCTTTTTCTTCTGAGCAATATGGAAATGTAGCGAGAAATGTAATTTTGTGCAAATGTACTAAATAGCTTTTGTATTTTCAGAAAAATAAGGGAAAGAACAGATGAAACAAACATCTTATTGGTTACTCTCCGTGCATATACCTAAATTACCAGTAAGTGAAATCTGAGAAGTATGATTCCCATTTTCTATATATAATTTTTATATAGAATTTTTTTACCTAAAACCCAACTGTGCTGTAATATTTCTGTGAGGAATTAACCCAGTGCTGACGGTAAAAATGTTTGGCAAGTGGATGTAAGAAGGGATTGTTGGCGAGCATTGACAGTTTCCCCAGTTTGCGCCCGGGCTTGATCAGTAGTTTGTGAAATCTGACGAGTGTGGTTCCCATATTCTTTTATAGGTTCCCTTACTGAGTTGTTGTTTTTTTAACCTGAAAAAAATGTGCTGTAGTCTGTCTTCTGAAGAAAGTGCACTGAGATGATATAATTTGGATATGAATTAAATGTACTAATGGATGCATTTACACCAGAGAAATAAAATCAAAGCTGGTGTCAGAGTTTTGCATAAGTAAAGATGTTGCATTTGATGCATGCATCAGTGTTGTCTATTTCGATTTGATATGAATATATAAATTTATTGATCCACAAAAGCCAGATGATCACGTCTATATGAATTTGGTTATTTTGAGTGATGAACAGCTGAAAAGAGCAAACATTTCTTAATGATAAGCCATAAACTTGTGAATGAAATAATTGCAAGGGAGGTGATTAAAAAAATTAGTGAAATCAATGTGTTGCAGATTATTGAAGTTGGTTAGTCTACGTGCTTAAGTTGAAATTGTCAGTAAGTGAAATCATACTTATTGTTTCTCTATTATGTGTAAAATTATGAAAATAGGAAAGGTTTCCTCTGCTGAGGTTGCTTACACACAACACAATCATGCTGTAGCTTTTTCTTCTGAGGAATATGGAAATGTAGTGAGACTTTATGTTGTGTAAACGTGCTAAATAGCTTTTGTATTTTCAGAAAAATAATGGAACGAACAGATGAAATGAATTTCTTGTTCTACATGCATCTGCTTAAATTGTCGGTAAGTAAAATTGTGGTGAATACTGTTCCCATATTCTATATGGAATTCAGTGATGAATATGGAGAAGGTTCCCTCTGCTGAGGTTGCTTACCCACAACACAATCATGCTGTAGCTTTTTCTTCTGAAGAAAATGGAAATGGATTGAGGTAGATGTAAAGTAAATGTACCTAAATGTAGCATTTTTTTTTTTTTTTTTTTTTCCAGGAAAATAGGGGAAATTACAAAACATCAAAAATACTAGTAAATAGAATTTTTACATTTTATGCATATGCAACATCACTGATCTTGTTTTGGTAGATAAAGGAAATGATTCTTTGTAATGCCCATCTTATGTTCCGTATTGATCATAATAGTATACTTGCTCACCATCTAGACTTTATTACCTATACTGGTGAATGTTTTTTTTTTTTCTTTTCTTTTCTTTTCTTTTCTTTTCTTTTCTTTTCTTTTCTCTCTCCAAAATGGGTGTGTTTATCTGAATTTTGAAAATTAAACCCTTAAAGAATTGAGCATCTCATTTTTCCCATTTAATGAGAGCCATTTGAATTCATTTGTAAAATTATTTATAGTAACATATAGAGCTGAAGTTTTAATGAGGTTATTCAGGAAAGACTTTAAGAAGCTTCATTCATTATCCTCATATGTAATTAGTAGTTCATGAAGTCTGCAAAAGGTTCCCACTTCAGGACTTAAAACCTAGCTGTAATTCTTTAATTTGCTGTTAATTCTTTTTCATGACAGTGTAAAGTTGTGGGTTGTCTAGCATATGAATTGTGAAAAATAAATTGTCCATTGTGCATTCATAACCGTTATGTGATGGCAGTTGAAAAGTTGATATTTTAAAAAGTTTTCAAGAGCACTAACTGAAATCTACCATCTGTATTGTAGGTTCATCCAAATTTGTGGCATCTTTTATAACCATTACATAAATTAACGTCAGGAAGGTTGATATCATGTTCTCAAGGTTCCCTCTGCTGAGGTTTATTACCTGAAACCCAACCATGGTGTAGTTATTCTTTAGGAAGGAAATGGGAGTGCAGCAAGATGGATGTTCAGTAAATGCTACAAAAATATTTTTTTTTCCAGGAAAATCAGTGAGATTTTCACACCAAAAAACTTGCACAAGTGAAGGTTGTATTTTATCCAACTCTACATGCATTCTCCAATCTCTGATTTGACAGACTGAATGGGTATGTTATCTTTTTTTAAAGTAATTTGTGATCCACAAAGGGCACTTTGGCATGTCTGTATGATTGTAAGATGTCTTAAATGTCATAAACTCGATATAAGATGTTGGGGATGTTCTCATCTATCTCCCAAACAGTATAACATCAGTTCATATCTCATCTGAAATCATAAGATATGCGCTTCGTTATCTCCCATCCTCGTTCGCCAAAGTAGGGATCATGAAGTCTTGGATAAACCTGTTTATTATAGGGTTTGTAGAAGGAGTCTCTCTATGTCTACTCTTTATTGTTGCTAAGCCTTGAGGGGTTACATACATTGCCACTAGGGCATACATTTGACTGGTCATAGAAAACAGATTGCACATCGTTGCACGGGTATCACAAACATAATAATTGTTAGTCAATTTATACATAGGAACTTAGTGTTAACCCATCCGTCCCGGGTGTCACATATATGAGACACAAAAAAAATAAACAGTTTCGGGCTGCCGCCAGTGCGATGCTGTCTCGGAGCCGTGCTCCGCGGCAAAAGCGGCGGGTGGCCGGGCGGGCGGACAGACTCCGGGGAAGCTCCGCCCGCCGATTTTGTAGCTTCCCGGATTTTTTTAATTTTGGCTACAAAATGTACCCGGCGCGGGTGGGTTAATAGCATATATCATTTAGTGTATGTTAATAAATAACACTTCCTTCCCCCTTATGGAAGATAATACAATTTTTTATTTTAATTGCAAATGAGACTATACAAGAAGTGTAATTATAGAACTTGTATTATATATAAAATGATGAAAATAGAAAAGGTTCCCTCTGCTGAGGTTGCTTACCCACAACACAACCGTGCTGTAGCTTTTTCTTCTGAGGAACATAGAAAGTTACCGAGGCATGTGTTATGTAAATGTTATTACATAACTATTATATTGTTAGCTATTGTATTTTCAGAAAAATAAAGGAAACAGATCATCAAACGAAGGTTGTGTTACTTAACATACATATACATGCCCTGTAAGAATCGTAGCATCAGCACGAATATATAACCCTGGAAGCTAAGTGGAAAATGGCATAGGAGCTGATGAGCAAGGTTTCATACCCCCAGTTTCTCTAAGTTTTTCGATTTAATGCAATGAATTAATCAAAAATTATGATGAGAAATGATTTGTGCTGATAATAAAAAATATTATTGTATTTGTTTTTCTCTAAAACTTTATATAGTTGAATATGGGAAAACTAGTTGAAGTTAAGGAACTTTTATAAATATATGAAAGATCAGTGGAAATGTGAACTCTAGTAAACCTTCATAAAACAGAGCCTGCATCTGAGTTAATATCAGCAGAACTAGTATTTTGGGAATTATATAAATGGATAACAAATAGAAAAGCTTAGGATGTTATGAAAACCTGAAGGTTCAAATGCATAATTGTAAACCAAGATTTAAATTGATCTCTAAATTCCTCATTTAATCCTGCAAAAGTATATTAGGTGCAGAAGAGGTGCTAAACCCTTCTGTATTAGGGAGCTGGCCTCAATGGGATTTCTACTTTGCTCTGGGTGTGTTCTGTGGTGTCTGTTCTACCTTTCGGCTAGGCTGATATGATACCTACCAGTAGCCCTTTTGGCGGGGCTGATGGGATACCCAGTAGCCCTTTTGGCGGGCTGATGGGATACCAGTAGCCCTTTTGGCGGGGCTGATGGATAACCAGTAGCCTTTTGGTGGGGCTGATGGGATACCAGTAGCCCTTTTGGTGGGGCTGATGGGATACCAGTAGCCCTTTTGGCGGGGCTGATGGGATACCAGTAGCCCTTTTGGCGGGGCTGATGGGATAACCAGTAGCCCTTTTGGCGGGGCTGATGGGATACCAGTAGCCCCTTTTGGCGGGGCTGATGGGATACCAGTAGCCCTTTGGCGGGGCTGATGGGATACCAGTAGCCCTCTTGGCGGGGCTGATGGGATACCAGTAGCCCTTTTGGCGGGGCTGATGGGATACCAGTAGCCTCTTGGCGGGGCTGATGGGATACCAGTAGCCCTCTTGGCGGGGCTGATGGGATACCAGTAGCCCTCTTGGCGGGCTGATGGGATACCAGTAGCCCTTGGCGGGGCTGATGGGATACCAGTAGCCCTCTTGGCGGGGCTGATGGGATACCAGTAGCCCTCTTGGCGGGGCTGATGGAACCAGTAGCCCTTTGGCGGGGCTGATGGGATACCAGTAGCCCTCTTGGGGGGCTGATGGGATACCAGTAGCCCTCTTGGCGGGGCTGATGGGATACCAGTAGCCCTCTTGGCGGGGCTGATGGGATACCAGTAGCCCTCTGGCGGGGCTGATGGGATACCAGTAGCCTCTTGGCGGGGCTGATGGGATACCAGTAGCCCTCTTGGCGGGGCTGATGGATACCAGTAGCCCTTTGGCGGGGCTGATGGGATACCAGTAGCCCTCTTGGCGGGGCTGATGGGATACCAGTAGCCCTCTTGGCGGGGCTGATGGGATACCAGTAGCCCTCTTGGCGGGGCTGATGGGATACCAGTAGCCCCCCCCCCCCTCTTCTTCTGCCTCTCTCTCTCTCTCTCTCTCTACCTACTCTCCTCTCTCTCTCTCTCTCTTCTCTCTCTCTCTCTCTCTCTCTCTCTCTCTCTCTCTCTCTCTCTCTCTCTCTTCTCT